AGTCGCCATAGCCAGTTGAAGAGAACTCATATCTGGTTACGATATCTTGAGTACTGTGTGGGCGCATGTCGCCAGTTGCTGTACCGCTGTTTGCAGGCATGACAAAGTGACAGGAAGACGAGTTTGAATTCATATAGGTTACGAAGGAGCTAATCAAATCGCTGATCTAGTATATAATTCTTTCACACTACAGGGTAACCGGCGTTCGGGACGGGCCGAACGCCCGAACGTATGGAACCCCTTGGGGATGCGTTTGGCCGTTCGGGCCGAACGTGGACCCAAAAGAAAAAAAAAACTCATCAAAAAAATCTGAAAAAAAAGATATGTTATGGAGAAAAATAAACTAAACAAGATTTGCCTGAGCATTACATCCGAATTCCTTACCAAATTTGAAATAAAAATAAAATACGGAAAATAAATACTAATAATAAGAATAAATAAAAATAAAAAGAGAATTAAATTTCGTGAGTGCGGCAGCATGTTTTCGACACCGCCATCTTTGGCGATTTTTTTTTTTTTTTTTTGGGATAGCTAAATGCTCTGAAAATTTACAGATGTGTACTTCACATAATACAAAACCCACTAAAAAAGTTTCAAAAAATAATAAAATTGTTTAGACCCCGAACTTAAGTGAAAACAAAAAGTAAAAAGTGAAAAAATACTTGGGCGAGCACGTTTTGACACCGCCATCTTTGGCGATTTTTAATTCTAATTTGGCTTAACCAAATAACTTGAAAATTTGCAGGCATGTACCTCACTTCATAGAGAACTCACAAAAAACAATTCAGAAAAAAATAATTATGTTTAGGCCCCGAAATAATTTTTGGCGGGGGCCGAACGCCGTCGGGTTCGGACCCCGTACGGGACCCCGAACGCCCGTACGTACGGAGGTCTGCCCGGGGACCTCCAAACGTACGGGCTGGTGACCCTATATATATATATATATATTTTACGAAAAAAAAATACGTTCGCCCGAACATGTTCGCGCGAATGTGAAGGGGCGCGAACACGTTCGCCGTGCTACGCAGACCACCAATAATAATATATCCTACAAACAAATTCGGAGGGTGGGCCCTACGGCGGCCGCCGTTGATAAATAATAATCTCATTTGCGGCCATCATTCCGTTTCTGTCTCCTCGAAAAGCGGGGGGCCCGACGGCAGGCGGCGCACATGGGAAAAGGAGTGGCGG